GGACAGTGACATGGGGGGGGTCCCAGGATCGAGGGGCTTTCCAGGACCTTGGGGACATCTCGGGGTGGGGGTGGGGCTGGTTTGGGGACCTCGGGGGACACCCCGAGGTGACGGCGCGTGCCTGTCCCCCCCCTCCCCAGGCCCAGTACTACGGGACCATCTCGCTGGGGACCCCTCCCCAAAATTTCCGCGTCATTTTCGACACGGGCTCGGCCGATCTGTGGGTGCCCTCCTCGCGCTGCTGCCTGCTCTACCTGGCCTGCTGTGAGGGGCGGGGCCTCCGGGGGGCGGGGCCTGGGGAATGGGCGTGGTTTGGCTCGGGGGCGTGGTCTGGGGCAGGGCGCGGTTAAAAGCCGAGAGGGGGGCTTGGAGGGGCGGGGTTACGGGGGGGGCGTGGGCGGGGGAGGGGTGGGGCCTGAGTGGGGAAGGGGCGTGGTCTGAGGGGAGTGGGCGTGGCCTGAGGGGAATGCTCGCGGTTTAAGCAGAGTGGGCGTGGTCTGAGGGGAATGCGCGCGGTTTAAGCGGAGTGGGCGTGGTCTGCGCGGAGTGGGCGTGGTCTGAGGACACTGACCGTGTCCCCCCCCAACTCAGGGCTGCACCCCCATTACCAGCCCGGGCTGTCCTGCACCCACCGGGCCAACGGCACCGCCTTCGCCATCAGCTACGGCAGCGGCAGCCTGAGGGGCTTCCTGAGCACCGACACCCTCACGGTGGGCTGGGCTCCCAGTGGGGAGGGGTCCCGGGGGTCTCACCTGAGCACCGACACCCTCACGGTGCCAGACACGGGCCGAGTGTCACCATGTCCCTGTGTCACCGTGTCACCGTGTGACTGTGTCACTGTCCCCACACAGGTGTCCAACGTCTCGGTTCCGAACCAGACATTGTCCCTGTGTCACCGTGTCACCGTGTCCCTGTGTCACTGTCCTTGTGTCACCGTGTCCCTGTCCCCAGGTGTCCAACGTCTCGGTGCCCAACCAGACACTGTCCCTGTCCCTGTGTCACCGTGTCACCGTGTCACCATGTCCCCACACAAGTGTCCAAAATCTCAGTCCCCAACCAGATGTTTGCCAAGGCCATGTCACCGTGTCACCATGTCACTGTGTCACCGTGTCACCGTGTCACTGTGTCACCGTGTCACCATGTCCCCGTGTCACCGTGTCCCCATGTCACCGTGTCACCGTGTCACCATGTCACTGTGTCACCGTGTCACCGTGTCACTGTGTCACCGTGTCACCATGTCCCCGTGTCACCGTGTCACTGTGTCACCATGTCACTGTGTCACTGTGTCAGTGTGTCACCGTGTCACCATGTCCCCGTGTCACCACGTCCCCGTGTCACCGTGTCACCGTGTCACTGTGTCACCGTGTCCCCGTGTCACCGTGTCACCGTGTCACCATGTCCCTGTGTCACTGTGTCACCGTGTCCCTGTGTCCCTGTGTCACCGTGTCACCATGTCCCTGTGTCACCGTGTCCCTGTGTCACCGTGTCCCTGTGTCACCGTGTCACCGTGTCCCCGTGTCACCGTGTCACCGTGTCACCGTGTCCCTGTCCCCAGGTGTCCAACGTCTCGGTGCCCAACCAGACGTTTGCCGAGGCCATGTCACCGTGTCACTGTGTCCCTGTGTCACCGTGTCACCGTGTCACCGTGTCACTGTGTCACCGTGTCACCATGTCCCTGTGTCACCGTGTCCCTGTGTCACCGTGTCACCGTGTCACCATGTCCCTGTGTCACTGTGTCACCGTGTCCCTGTGTCCCTGTGTCCCTGTGTCACCGTGTCCCTGTGTCACCGTGTCCCTGTGTCACCGTGTCACCGTGTCACCGTGTCACCATGTCCCTGTGTCACTGTGTCACCGTGTCCCTGTGTCCCTGTGTCACCGTGTCACCGTGTCACTGTGTCCCCGTGTCACTGTGTCACCGTGTCACCGTGTCCCTGTGTCACCGTGTCACCGTGTCACCGTGTCCCTGTCCCCAGGTGTCCAACGTCTCGGTGCCCAACCAGACGTTTGCCGAGGCCATGTCCCTGTGTCCCTGTGTCCCTGTGTCCCTGTGTCACCGTGTCACCGTGTCACCGTGTCCCTGTGTCACCGTGTCACCGTGTCCCCACACAGGTTTCCAACGTCTCGGTGCCCAACCAGACGTTTGCCGAGGCCATGTCACTGTGTCACTGTGTCCCCATGTCACCGTGTCACCATGTCACTGTGTCACCGTGTCACCGTGTCACCGTGTCCCCGTGTCACCGTGTCACCGTGTCACCGTGTCCCCACACAGGTGTCCAACGTCTCGGTGCCCAACCAGACGTTTGCCGAGGCCGTGGCCCTGCCCGGCCTGGCCTTCGCGGCCGCGCGTTTCGATGGCGTCCTGGGCCTGGCGTTCCCCGGCGCCGCCGCCGGCCCCGCGCGCCCGGTCTTCGACAACATGATGGAGCAGGGGCTGTTCCGCGACAACGTCTTCTCCTTCCACCTGCGCAGGTACCGACCACACCTGGGGCACCCAAACTGACCCCCAAAACATCCCGAAATTACCCCAAAAAATACCCCTGAGACACCCCAAATACACCCAAAACATCCCGAAATTACCCCAAAAAATACCCCTGAGACACCCCAAATACACCCAAAACATCCTGAAATTACCCCAAAAAATACCTCAAATACACCCCAAATACACCCAAAACATCCCGAAATTACCCCAAAAATTACCTCAAATGCACCCCAAATACACCCAAAACATCCTGAAATTACACCCAAAAATTACTTTAAATACACCCCAAATACACCCAAAACATCCCAAAATTACCCCAAAAATTACCTCAAATGCACCCCAAATACACCCAAAACATCCTGAAATTACACCCAAAAATTACTTTAAATACACCCCAAATACACCCAAAACATCCCCAAAATTACCTCAAATACACCCCAAATACACCCCCAAAACATCCCGAAATTACCCCCAAATCCCCTCTGGGACCCCCAAATCCCCTCTGAGACCCCCAAATTCCCTCTGGGACCCCTCCTGGGACCCCCAAATCCCCCCCGGGGCCCCCAAGCCCCCCCTGACGCCCCCCAAATTCTGCCCGGGGGGCGCAGTGGGGCGTCGGAGGGCGACGGGGGGGAGCTGCTTTTGGGGGGCATCGACGAGGGACAGTTCGAGGGACCCCTGCACTACATCCCCGTGTCCCGAAAGAGCTACTGGCAGGTGCACATGGACAGGTGAGACCCCCCTCAAATCCCCCCAAAAATCCCCCCAAAAATCCTCCCAAAATCCCCCTCAAATCCCCCCGAAATCCCCCTCAAATCCCCCTAAAATCCCCCCTGAATCCTCCCCGATTGACCCCCAAATCCCCCCCAAAAATCCCCCCCAAATTCCCCCAAAAT